AACTGCGCCACCACAAGAACAAGGACTTGTCATATCGCCCGCTTTCGAGACTCAAACCAAAGCCCTAGAATGCAGCCGACTGAAGTGATCTGGTTGGCTACCTCAGCTTTCCCTCTCTGATTCAACAAAATCAGCCACCCAGAGGCAGAAGCATGGAACACATGTCGTTCATTTGTTGTTTCTTGCGCCGTCTCCTCTCCCATTTTTTTTGTGTGTAATTTTTAAAAAATAATTTAAAATGGAACCATTTTTTTTTTGGAAAGCCGGCATTTCTTTTGGCTTGTAATAGTCTGTAACATTTTATACTCACGGTTATAGAGAAAGCGTTCTCCACATTGCTCAAAGGTTCAATATGAAGACCGTGAACACATGGAGAAGTAAAACGAGATGTGCAGCTTTCAGCGTAAACAGATTCAACTAAATGCCCATTACTGTTCCTAAAACGGAGGATAAAAATTACCTCATAAATAAGAAGAAAGGTTCAGGTGCCCCCTCTGACTTCAGTTTGGACACACTTCACTGAGACCACCGCAGAGACGACAGCTCTATCCCCTTCGCTAGGGAACATCGAAGGCCCGGCTTCATATGCATCTGTTTGCACGCAGTATAACACTAGGCACGAACTTGAGTAGGACAGAGGGAGAAGGCATTTGCGATGTTCGCTTTTATTTCTCTAAAGAATGAAAACCCCCATAAGGCTGGGGCCCCCTCCGTGTCTTCTTTTGCTCAAAGCCGTTTTGAAAAGAACGCGGAGAAGTTGCGTGAGACGCCGGTCACATGCCAAATTTATCGGCCATTCTTTACAAGAAACCCAAGAAACTCGCCGCGCAAAGCGTTTTTTTGTTTCTTTTTTATTATTCGCTTGTGGCGGTATTATTTTTGTCACGCCTCTTTTTTGAATGCTGTGGAAATGTTTTTCTTTTATTTTTGTTTTGTAATATGGAAAGATTTTTTTTTTTATTTTACCCTATACAGCATTTTTTTTGTCTGTTTATTCTTTTTACGAGCCACAGCATGGCTCACCCCGAGGGCCGGGACCCCTGGGCTGAAACCCCCTTAGCCCCTACCTTAGAGCGGGCGCGATCTCAAGCTTCAATGTGAGTCTCTAATATGGCGATAGCTAAATTAGGAGTTATTTAATTACCGACAACGAGCACGCGTGCGAACACGAGACACCGCTTATGATATTCGATTCGTAATGGCAATGTTTCAATGGTTCCGCAGTACTGCTGCCTAGAGTGTGTGTGCTCAACCCTCTGCTCGAAGTCAGCTTCTACATGCGACACTGTCAAAGCTATTGTAAAGTCACTGGATCTGACGCAAACGCTCTCAAAGCTATACACTTGCACGAGCGTCGTGGCTGAGTTTGGCCTCTCCTTGGCACAAGAGCGCGTTCGAATGAGACCCGAGACGAAGCAACTTGCTCTCAGCAGCAGTCCGGTGCTGCAGCACTGGGGGAACAGCACTAGCCTCGACTAAATTGTCACTGAATCCTGGGAAAGTAGCGCCAAGCTCCCCGTAAGCTTGCCATTTTGGTCCATAAAATGAGCAATGTTTCCTTGACGCCTCCGTTCTTGGTGATCCGATTTGATTCCACTAATGGCGGGTAGCTTTATGGAGACGTTTCTTGTATGCCGAGATTTTACTATCCACACACCAGCGAAACAAGCGTATACATCTCCGCACCACCACCAGATGCTGCGTCGGTGCTTGGAGGCACTGAAAAATAACTTTACTCTTTTAAAATACGCAAGAAGAACAATATAATTACAAGACATCCGTGGAGGTTGGCATGATTGTTAAGTTGATTGGATACACAGTGTCAAGGACGCTTATATTGGCGCGGAACGCAGTACGAGGATGCTCCATGGTGATATTGGCGCGACTGGTTTAGAACGACCCTCTGGAAGCTTCGAAGATTTGCATCGATAGAAATGGCGATTTCCATGGCAACGTAGACAGATTAGCCAATCGCCTTACGAGGTTTCGGTCGGCTGTATGTTAGTATCCGTCTGTGTCCGGCTAGTAGGTAGGGAAGGCAATGGCGCTACCTTCCCAGGATCCAGTGACCTCAGCCTTGACAACATAGCAGGAAGAAGCTGACGCCGAGTATCACAAGTATGGGGAGGTAACGTAACTTTGGTAGGCCGCAGGTGCCGACGCGTGCGGAGAAAAATATATTCCGGAAATAGTTCTTCAGGAGTTTTCATACTGCGGCCTTTTAATTTATCTCGTTTTGGTTCATAATTATTTGTTTAAAATTCTGTATTAAAACGTGTTGCAATCGCAGAATCGATCCTGTATAATAAAGCGACTCAAAGAGCTTGTTAATAAAACAAACATGACGCGTGATTTAACAGACCGCGGTCGGAACGAGCCGAACGAGAACAGAATATGCGAATTAAATTGTGGCTACATTGCGGATCTAGCTATCAAGCAGAGCGCCTGCCTCATAGTGTTCTTATTAAATTAATCTTTGTATTATCAACAGCGCTCACCACTCGTTCTGCTGCAAACCGTCAATATTGAAAAAAAAAAAACTCTAGTTGGGATAGTAATAAGTATGAAATCTCAGCAGATTATTAGGGAATTTTTATTAGATCGTTTTAAAAGGCCCGCTACGGCTACGGGCGCGCGCTTCAAAGCATGTGTCGAAGTGGCAGTGCCAGCTCCCTCTACAAATAGCATGGCTTGAAAACATGATACTAAAACTCTCTATTCTCGCAGGTGTGATATACCTATATATATACATACAGTATCGAGCGCGCGCTTCCAAAGTGCAGCGTGGGGCGCCAAGGCCAACATCGTTTTAAAAGCCGCGCTAAAACTTTCCACGGTCTCCGGTGGCCATGTGAAAAGCTGCGTTTTTGAAAGGGCCTCAAACATCTGATTCAATGGCGGCCATTGCTGTGCGCGCGACTGCTGAGCGCGTGCTGACGGCGAGCTTCCACAGTTCTTCTGCAACGTGCCTTTCGCACCATCAAGATTGCTTGCCTTAGTAGCATAATAATGTGAGCTCATTCTGAGCATGCGCTCTAAACATCGCCCTCAAATATGGCGTCTAGTAAATATTCCCTCCCGTTTTTGCAGGTCTGATAGTGCACGAAAGCACGTTTTGAAGGCGAGCGAGAACTCGTATAATACCTATTCCATTATATGAAACCAACTGCTGCGGCTGGTAACAATGCTTTTGCACACGAATGCGACCTGTATACTAGCAGCACCTAGCAAAATCAAGGAATAAACTAGAAATTTGACGACATCCCAATGATATCAAGCGCATGCAGACATTGGACACGAGTGCATGTGCCAGCATTTGGCTGGGCCTACTGTTAAAGTCTGTAAAATGGCGAGCCGCCTCGGTGGCCCCGAGACGAGAGCGTTGGCCTACGGATACCCATTTGGCGGGTTCGAATCCCGACCGAGGTGCCCGCAATATGACGGAGGCTTATTGCGGAGAAGGTGTCGTGTAACCGAGCTTTCGGTTGCACGTCAAAAGATCCCCAGGTGGCGCCCGTCGTAGGTTTGGCACGTAAAACCCCCAAATTCGACTTTTTTTTTTTTATTAAAATGGCGGCTGCCGTCGGGCTCGAGCCCAGTTGCTGATCTGGCGCCATCCGAGTTTGATGACGTTCAATGAAAGCAGAGGAGGCTCTTCACAGACTTTGATTGTTATGATGCCTGTACGAAGAGGCCAATCCCGTAAAACGCCACGCTCTACACCAAGACAGTGTTTACAAAGAAGCCCGCGTTTGCCCGCACCGCGTGTGGGCATTGCGCTTGCGTAGAAACCAGATTCGCGTGAGGCGCTGCTCCTGCGCATGCGCAGTGCCGACGGCAGCGTGACGTCAGAGAGTTGAGTCGCTGTATGGACCTTTGCAAAAGTCGCCTTCTGCGGGCTGCCATCTTTGTTCGCTCGGCTGTGGAGCGCCTTGTGAGCATGCACTGTTGCCCTGCTGTGCGGTATATCGGACGATGCGCATGCGCCAACAGGTCAGTGACTCAGCATTTTTGGCCCACGTGATAAGCGATCCCTGTCCGTGCGCTTTTTGGAAAAACCAACGGGTAGACGCTTTTTTTTTTTTTTTTTTTTTAAAGAGTGGTGAGTGGAGTTGATGGCTCTTTCTGACAGTTCGAATGGCTGTCGCGTTACATATCGCTCGGTGGCTTAGACACTGGAAAAGGTAACGCGTAGGTTATCGATTGAACGCCTATACAGCGTCGTTTGGTTGGTTTATTAGACCGCCCGTGAAGATGCGAGAGTTAGATAAGAACGCTGGGACTTAACGCACGTAAATTCTAGATGCTCCGGCCGCCGCCCTCCTCTAACACAACGCAGAGAGGTTTTCGTGGAACGGTAGTAGTCCTTTCGCCGCTCGGCAGGATGTTTGCTGGGAACGAAGACGCGCCCCACATGACATGAAGAGCACACATATTTGACAAGGAGGCGTACTCGTCCTCACAGCGCGGAGGAGTACTTGTTCGTACGGTCGTGAAACTGGACTGAAGACGCCCGAGGAGGCTTCAGCGCTCCCTCCACCAGACGGACCGGCTTGCTCGGAACGAACTAACTATACTCTGTTCATCCCTAAGCTGACAGTGCCATGAGAACTAGACACCCTCTGGACCAGCCACGGGTCTACGTTTTGTCCCGCGATCACGCGCCCGCTCACACCCATACGCAGAGAGCGGAGTAAGGTGACGAAAGGGAGGTGATTGATTGATCCAGCGAGCCCGCAGCACCCGTCAAGCTCCGAGCTTGGGGCGGAACAGGGTATAAAATGTACACGTTCTCTCCCGTGAGACGGCGTGAAAGAACCGCCAAGGGTTGCGCACGAGCGCGTGGAGGTTGCACCCACTGCGTACCGTATATTATCCGTGTTCGTTTGCATCGCGCTTTCCTTCGGACCGTATCACGCGTAAGGCTTTTTCCTCAGTTTGTATCGACAAAACCGGCCCGGGTCTTGCGACTGCACTGAGAAAAAAGAACAACAACTTGCCTTTTGCAGCCTGCAGCTTTTGTCACACACCACGTTGAAGCTTTCTTCTTCCACCACCTGCGAGAAAGAAAAAAAATGGATAAATGCTACAGGTTGGGCTTAATGATTGCTCTGGCTAAATTGCTTGTCTACACAGAAACACCAGGCGCCTTTTCATGGCAGACTGATACTTTTCGCTGTTTAAAAATCCTTACACTAGTTTTGTTTTGTTTTCGCTTAATGACATCAATCTGCGCAAGAAGCTATTACTCCAAATTAATGATTGGTCAAATTTTCGGCATAGTTTTTTTGGCCATAACACAGACGGGGCTAGGGTGCAATGCCATCCAAAATAGCAAAAGCCCTGCAAACGCACAACTATTTTTTTTTTTTAATTTGGTTAGGAGTATGTTTATACAGCCTTAAAGTTAGTCTGCCTTCAATGAACGGCTTGTCCCTCAGCTGTCGATGAGCAATTAAGCCAGTGCAGTACAACCGCTAGTCTGGGGTCTTTATTACGTGCACCACGCAGTAGTGATACACGACCGCACGTCGGAACGATGTTCACCATGCAGGTCGAAACGGGCAGGGGTGGGGATTGAGCCCAGGATCCCTGGGTTCCACCGCGCGAGCTTTCGCTCCCCGTGCTCCGAGCAGGTGTGCGCTAGACCACTCGGCCACGGATCCCCCGCACCACTCTTCCTCCATGAAGCGTCATCACAGTCGGATGGCGCCAACTCAGCAACTGGACCCCAGCACGGCGCCGGACGTCCTTCGACGCGTTGATTGGACACGAGGCCAAGCCGAGCACTGATGCAGCACTCGTATCCAATCCGCGTCTTCGCTCGATCTCACTCTGATGACGTCAACATTCTAGTGCACTGACTTTGATTATTCCAGGTGGCATTAGCTGGGACAACGAGGAAATGATGCATTATTACTGAGAGGTGTATATTTATAAATCCAGCAATTATAATTTTAGACAGAAAAAAATATAGCGATCAGCATCCCCGGGCAACACAATGGAACGCCAAAGTTCAACTAATCAAAAAATATAACAGTATACCACGATTATTTTTTTTTTACGCTTTCGATGTATTTACTTTTAGAATTTCTACACACCAAGAAACTTTGGAGGGATTCTAATCAATCTTATAACAATGTTAGCTCTTTTATATTTTTGAGACCAGCTATGTTTAAACTATAACCCTGAGACTAGGGAGGAATATGACGATGAAGAACAGGAGTCCTGTTTTTTCCTTTCTCTCATCGTCGTCTTTCTTCCTAGTCTCCGTGTAATAGTCAATCATGTTTAATCATCACCAGCTCGTTCGCGTCCTAACATTCTGTTCAGCTATGTTTATTCTTGTTCCTCCCGATTATATCTTTTCACGCACAGACTGCTTCTTTACATTGCACGACAGAGTCAGCCCAAACACGACATCAGCGCTTCTTAGTATTTTACTCTTACAAGGTATGAACAAGCACGCAATGCATTGTTACCGTTGATGCTGGTACTCCGAAGAAACACTCTCCATAACACCAGTAAGCTTAATAGGTCTTTGAATTCGCCGAAAAGAACTTAAAAATGCTGCGAGTGTTCTCGCTAGCTGTGTCGCGTTTTGAGCAGTTTGTTACATGGGAGAAGCATTGTTTATAGACAATGTATCGTTGTTTCCCACAATATGGCACCGCACTCCCTTATTTATACCAAACCGAGAAGCACATGCACACGTTCTTTCTTTTCACGAATTCACATTAAATCCTGACCTGTAGGAATGACGAAAATGGCAACCTACCTCTCCCTAACATCATCACAATCGCTCCAATGCGCTCTCTTTACTATATCTTTATTTTTTCATTCTCCCGAAACCCCTGTGGAGAGTAGCCGGAAAAGTCCAGGGTGACCTCTCTGCCATTGTGCCATCAACATCAATCAACGAATCTTGCCGATCACTTGACCCATGCTGCGGGCCACTTGTCCCTCTTTGTACCATAGCAGATCTGTCTCCAACTGAAGGAGCAGCCTTACACAGACAGACCACCATGTCCCCGACCAGACAACCATATCACAACAACAAGCATAAAAAAAAAGAAAAAAAAAAGAAGAAAAAAACGAGGAGAATTTCAGAGAGAGATGGAGATAGAGCAGACAGCAAGCAGCGACGAAAACTGAGTCGCGAGCTGGGATAGACAGTAAACAGAAATTCCCTGAGCGGTCCCCACGATGGCCTTCTTTCTGCAGAGAAAACAAGGAAAGGATCCCGATGACACGAACATATAAAAACGGCACAAAATAAACAAGGCCTTGTTTCCATCGTCCCTCGTTCGGCGGACTCGCTCCCTGCTCCTTGTTCTACTTATTTGTTGTCTATGGGTTGAAAGAGAGGGAGGGAGAGGGGGACAGAACCCCGGCCGCCTCAAGTATAGTCATCGGTGTAGAATTCGATATCCCCGAGGGCAATTAAGCGAAACACCGCGAAAACCACGCGTCGGTTCGTTCTTAAAAGTTGGCGAGCAAAAAAAAAGAAAAAAGCCCGGGTCAACGACGCGGTTCCACGAAAACTTGGAAGGCCCGAAAGTTCGAAGAAGGGCGGAGATTTCAAGAGCTGCGGGAGTAGTCGTCAGTTCTGGGGGCTTGATCGCTGCTGAAGATGCCGCTTGCTTATGTGTGACAACGTAGATTAGGTCGGTTACGGAACTGCCCATAGACACTGGGGACTATCCCAAAGAAGCAGCCTCAGCCGAGACCTCGTCGTCCTGTGATACTCTGCCCGCCGTCAGGTTTCGGGACAAGGCTGCACCGATAGCGCGGAACTGGTTCATGTTGCATGGGCTCTTTGACACGCAGCCTTATATTTGCTTCTTTTTTTTTTTTTTAACTCTTTCGAGACCTATATCGTCTCGCTGGACATAGTGAACTCGCGATTCTGTCCGTCACACTGTCGATTAGATAGCGGACTGCTGACCAGACAAGGATTCGAAATTGGACTAAAGCCCGTTTCCCATGGTGGCGATTGGTGAGATCCCGCTCTGCGATCCTCCTGATCTCGATCACCACGTCGCTCATGAGGCAAAAAAAAAAAAAAAAAAAGCCTGGATGGCAGTTAATATGCTTGTTTGTGCTGTGTTCATAGGCCTTCTACCACATGACATTATAAATTGCAGTCAGAATCGCATCAGGTGAAACGGGCATAATGTGAAAGGTGCGGGAACGGATGTGTGAAGAATGGTGGGGAAATCACACCAATTTTGAAGCATGGAAAAATAGTTCAACGTCATTAATTAAAAAAAGGGAAGCACAGGCCGGTATTTACCGTACACTAATCTTAAATATACTTTTAAGAAAACCAATCTCCTATGTTGGTCCAGTAAGTACCGTGGCTTTTCGACGCTCGCATGAAGCAGTATTTGCATGTACTGCATGACAGACTTCCGGTCGATTTATTGAGCACATGTTCCGCCCTTCAGTCAATTGGCAAGCAAGAAAAACAAGAAGAAGAAGGAAAAGAAGCAATATCTACTGGCCTTTCACTCTAGGCAGGGGTTTCTCGTGGAAGATAACATTCGATTAATGTGTGTAATATGCGATTTTAGGAAAAGAAATGTCTTCCCCAAATATTTGGCGCAGTTCAGTATTACAGCTCTATTAAGATATGCGAACAAAAAGCAGAAGTTAAAAGTATTTCGTTTTATTTATTTAAAGAGAGTAGCTCGCTCTTATAACGATTAGTTCTACGAATCGCTCGTAATAAGCTAATGCAATGGTGAAAAGAAAATAGTACATAAAGGAAAACATTTTTCAAGGCATTTAGATCGAATCAATCTTTGTGTGGAGACATATTCTGGTGCGGTATAAGGAGGCGCTAATTCGAATGTGACGCCATAAATGACGTAATAAACCGGTCAATTTAATGACCTAATTAATTTTAACGAAAGCATTATGTAACTTCAAAACGAACCAAAAGTAAAAGTAAATGTTTTCTGAGACTTTATTGAAGATTGGAACAATAGTAGCTGCGATTTAAGTTGCGAAAAATGTCTCCGAAGTTCCCACGTGTAGATATTCAGTTCTATAACCCAGAGCCCATCTTTTTGTGGCGGTGAACCTGGGGAGTTACACATTTTCAGTATCCCGCATTAACGCGATAACGTTAAGGAACTTGTGTCGCAGAAAAGCCGGCGTCGGCGTCATTCGGTCGGGAAAATCCTGATTGGTCAATAGGGTCATGACGCCACAGACACATGACCTCGCGCGGGTATTTCAAACAACCCGCAACGCTCACGTAAAACGTGACGCCACGCGTGGAATGAAAGTGATTAAAACATTATATGTAATTCGAATTGAAGGTCACCGTGTGTCTCAAATGTTTTCACATTATAAAGTAATTCACTTGCTTGAAAGAGAATATTTGAAGAATTTTAGCCGTGATTCGAACTTGCGGCCCTTCGGTTGCGAGCCAGACATGCTACTGACAAAACCCCGCTGACTCTTTTTTTTTTTATTTAGTGCAGGTAACGCACACATGTGAACATTAATCTACAGTCAAATGAAAGGAGCGTATCCTTTAACAGGACTCGGAGCGTTTAAATTTAAAGCACCTTCAATTTTTTCAAATTCTTCAAACATAGGAAAACATTCAGGGGTCGGGAGCTTAGTTATATGTATACACTGTCGATTCGCATACCATCTGCATGAAATACTTTCGTACTGGGAGTTCATTTACATCCGCATGCCTAACAGCCAGCGCGACTTCTCCAAATGCCGTGTAGATCGATAAGCATATGATAATATGTAATGGAGCGATGTCACTCGAACCTGTGCCCAAAAATCTAATGTCATCAAAGAAAAAAGATAGGTCTTATTTTTACAGTTGTTTTGTACGACATCTTAAACGAACAGCGAATTGCGGGAAAACATGCTCAATTGTTTCAGGTATTTTTTTACATAAAATACAATGATCACCGCATGGTACAAACGTCCCTTGGTCTTTTAACCACGTCTTCACAGGCAGCGCATTTGTATGAAGTTTAAAAAAGAAGGTTTTCACTGCTGGCTGAACGTACATTTTCTTTTT